TGGCGGCCTGCTGCAGGCCGTGCGAGGGAGAGATGGGCTGATGTGGGCCATTTTCTTTTCTAAAAAATGCGATAACTTTGTAATCCGTTTTCGGTTTGCACCGTTACATTTTTTTACTTTTTTTATAGAATAAAGACCATTACAATTTTTATGATGACATATGTAAAACTAGACCTCTAATGTATATATATATATAATTAAATATTGATTACACTTGGCATATGTACACACTGCAAGAAATTTTGGCCTGGTCCGCCACTGAATACAGGTTTCGATGCTTGTCTTAGTTCCTCCAATACGTGTAGACGGTATTTAGAAGAAAAATATCATAGCGTCATTTATCAGAGAGGCCCAGGAAGTTTTCTACGCTAGTACTAATTCATATGGCTGGGAGCGGCAAAAATAGTTATTTTAGTATCGAAACATAACAACAATTTTGTGGGAGTGAAAACAAGAAGACACAAATTTCAAATATAAAGTAATCTAATAATAAAATGAGACACAGTTTCTAGAGGTCAGTTTTAATTTATAGAATCCAGCTAAGCAATTTGAATGGAGTATAATTTATGTTTATGGTATCGAGGGAATTCGCTTAAATAAAAAGTTACTCCTCTGTTCCAAAATAGAAGTCGTTATCGCTTCTTGAAAAGTTAATTTTTTTAAACTTTAATCAATTATATATAAAAGAATATTAATATTTATAATACATAATTAGTATCATTAGAAAGATCATTGGATATACTTTTATAATAAATTTATTTAAAGATATAAATATTGCACATATTTTTTATACACTAAAGTTGACCTGTCTCGATACGGCACGGCCGGCGCAGAGTACAACGTCTTGTTAAAAATAATTAATTAATTAAGCTGAAGGCAGTGCCGAGGATGGATCAAATGGAGGCGCTGACACACACTTGACCTTCCTGAGGCGCAGCGCCGTCCGCGCACACACTCTCGTCTCGCCTAGGACTCCACAGCGACCCAACACAGCGGTCAAACAAAGGCAGCGGCAGCGGCAGGCAGCGGCATAACACCCAAGTCACCTCCGCCTCCCTGGGGCTCCAAGAATCCGGAAAATCCCCACCCCACCCCGAGGCTGAGCCGACGCCGGTGATGTCGTCGGCGGTGCCCCCGCCGCCGCCCCAGCAGGAGGCCCCCTCCGCCGGCGGCGACAAGGTCCTGGCCGCGGCGCAGCACATCGTTAAGTCCCTCGCCACCTCCAAGAACGCCGCTGACGACATGATCCGCATACTCTCCGGCTTCGACAACCGCCTCTCCTCCATCACCAACGACCACCTCTTCCCCTCCCCGGACCTTTCCACCGCCTCCGACTCCGAGATCTCCGCCGCCGCCGCCGCGGCCGCCTTCGACGCCGCCGACCAGGTCATCCAGCTCTGGGACGCCACCCCGGAGGCGCTCGTCTTCGAGGCCCCCGAGGACGACGTCGCGCAGTACCTCGCCGCCGTGGACGTCGCCATTGACCACCTCGCGCGCGGCGGCCCGGGGGGCGCGCGGGCCGGCGTCGCCGTCCAGCTCGCCATGGCGCGCCTCGAGGAGGAGCTGCGCCACCTCATGGTCCGCCACGCCGTCCCCATCGACCCCACGGGCCTCTTCTTCTCGCTCCGCCGCCTCTCGCTCGAGTCCATGGACGACCTCGACGCCTCCCCCGACTTCGACGCCGCCACGCCACACAGCCTCGCCCTCGACGCCACCCCCGCCGGCCCGGACACCGCGCGCGGCGCCGCCCTGGGATCTAACCCCTTCGAGGACCAGGTGTTCGACCCCGTGCGCCCCGAGGCCGTCGAAGACCTACGCGCCATCGCCCACCGGATGGCGCGCGCGGGGTACGCCCGCGAGCTCGCCGACGCCTACTGTGCCGTCCGCCGCGACCTGCTCGACGAGTACCTCTCCGTGCTTGGCGTCGAGCGCCTCAGCATCGACGATGTACAGCGCATCGAGTGGAAGCTGCTTAACGACAAGATGAAGAAGTGGGTGCACGGGGTCAAGACCGTCGTGCGCGTGCTGCTGGCTGGTGAGCGCCGCCTCTGTGACCAGGTGCTTGATGCGTCCGATGAACTTATGGAGGAGTGCTTCCTTGAGTCCACCAAAGGATGCATTATGCAGATTCTTAGCTTTGGGGGTGCCGTGGCGGTATGCCCCCGCTCGCCAGAGAAGGTCCCTCGGATCCTTGACATGTACGAGGCACTCGCAGAGGTGATCCCCGAAATGAAGGACTTGTGCGTAGGAAGTTCTGGGGATGGTGTGATCAGCGACGTGCAAGCCATTCTCGATAGGCTTGGGGATGCTGTGAGGGGTAACCTGTTTGAGTTTGGGAAGATGTTACAGCAGGAGACCTCACGGAGGGCGATGACAACTGGAGAGATCCATCCAATGACACGCTATGTCATGAACTATTTGAGGTTGCTGGTTGTTTACAGTGAGACACTTGATGTACTCTTGGCTGATGACAGCAGTGATCATGATGCTTTCAGAAGTTCTGATGATCAGGATCAGGAACACTTGGAGAACATGACCCCTTTTGGAAGGCGTCTTCTGAAGCTGATATCTTACCTGGAGGCCAATTTGGTGGAAAAATCTAAGCTCTATGAAGATGCTTCCCTGGAGTGCATATTTGCCATGAACAATTTGCTCTATATTGTTCAGAAGGTAAAGGATTCTGAGCTAGGAAAGGTTTTGGGTGATCACTGGATAAAGAGGCGGAGTGGCAAGATTCGACAATATTCAAAGAGCTACCTAAGGCTTTCTTGGACCAAGGCTTTGTCTTATTTCAAGGAAGATGGACATGGGAGTGGTAGTGGTAGCGGGAGTGGCAGTGGCAGTGGCAGTGGGCATTCAAGTTCGAGGATGTCCATCAAGGATAGGTTCAAGAACTTCAACATGGCCTTTGAGGAAATTTACAGGAACCAGACACTCTGGAAAGTTCCAGATCCTCAGCTCCGGGAAGAACTGAAGATATCAATATCTGAAAATGTGATTCCAGCTTATCGTGCTTTTCTGGGCAGATATGGCAATCAAGTGGACGGGGGAAGAAATCCAGGAAAATATATAAAGTACACACCAGAAGATTTGGAGAGCCAGCTATCTCATTTATTTGAGGGATCACAAGTGTCTGCCAATCACTCTAGGAGAAGAACATAGTTCATGGTTGGCAGGATCATGTTGCAGGTATGATTTTGTTGAACGGATTGATATTGATGAACGTTTGTACACATCACATCTGTTGATTGGATGCTTGTTCCCATAGTAGTCACTACAATACTGTAATACAACATGTGAAACTTTTGATATGCTTACTATTGCATAGTGTGAACGAAGAAATGATGTACATTTATTGTCCTGTTGTTAATTGTGATCTGTGCTACTATTTCACATTAGTCATAAGACCATTTGCCACTAGGTAGGGTACAGAGTGTCCAAGGGAACATGTTCGGTTCGATTAATTGGGGTTGACACATTTCTTTCTTTCTTTTCTTTCCTTTTTTTTTGAAAGGAAGGGGTTGCCACATTAGTCATGTGTTGTACAGTCGCAGTCTTTTGATGGTGGTGAATAAATATGTGATGCTAAACAGAAAAAGTTTATTTTTGCACCTTCAGTTTTTTCGGGTTATCCATCTTGTACTTGCAATGTTAGAGAATGAAAGTTTACCAGCTAGCTCATTCTTGACACTACCGGTAGCTCTGACTTCATTGTTTTTACTTGACCTGTGACTTGTAGGCACCTTGTGCAAGGAACTCTGCCATTTAGCCTTTGATGATAAATTATTTCTCTGTTATCACTTATTACTTTTTCATAGTTTCAATTTCCATACACTGGTGTCTTATTCAGCCTCATTTATATATATATAAGAGCTTGCCATTCAAAAGTTTTATTTATGTGGTGCATGCTGCAACCAGTGTATTGAAGTATCTGTGGATTTCACACTTGAAATATTATGCTTTTAGGACATTGGTTATACATGTAATCAATTTGGCATAAAAAATCAGAGGTCCTGCGTTTGAGACCTGGTTGGCCCAAATACATGGAAAACCATAATTGTGATGCTTTAAGGGGTCTCGTCTGTTCAAAGTAACATCAAGAGGATCCCATGGATCGACATGGCCCTACCATTGTTGAGTTCAGAAATCAGAGTGCAGTTATAGTTCACTGCAGAGTGTTTGAAGTATAAGTAGGTTGCCTGTTTTCCTCAGCAGCTTAAACTTTTGAGTGAACTAGTTAATGCTTTAAACTCAACTCTATGTAAATGGTACCTGAATGACTGAATCACCATTGCATGCCATAGGGGGCTAAACACTAAGGTGGAATTATAGGTCTCCATTCAAAAGTTCTTTTACACGATAGTGCATGCCACAGGGAGTTAAACACTGAGATGGAATTATTGCTTCCCATTCAAAAGTTCTTTTACACAATAGAACTCTCCAACTGCTGCTTGCTTTCGCCCAAACATGGCCTTTGTGTTACAAGTTACAACATGCTCCACATGCGAATTGGAAATTATACTATAGTAGTATTCTATTTGAAACTTGTCTTAGACAGCAAATGAGCAGAAGAATTTTGTATTCTCTCCGATTTGAACAAAATTTTGTCCCAAGTGTGGTAATTGGTAACTTTGATCAAGCATAGTTGCATCATTAGTGGAACAACTGTCTTACTAATATCCTGATATATATATATATATATATATATATATATATATATATATATATATATATATATATATATATATATATATATATATGTGTGTGTGTGTGTGTGTGTGTGTGTGTGTACTTTGCCTCTTGGTAAAATTGTTGAGGTTCAGTGTACACTCTTGGACAGTAGAGACTTATTATGTATAGCATGTTTGGTCATATCAGCAAATAAGATTCCTCCGATGTTTCTCTTCACCAGTTTAGAACATCCTGCTGCATTTGGCAGCACTGTCCAAGTTAGATATTAAAACCATGTCTAAATAGTAAATACATCAAACATTAAAGACATGGTACAATCTCATTAGACGCTATTACTGTGAGAAAGGGAAATAATCCTGTAAATTTCAGATCTGATACTTGACTTAAATTGGAAAAGCATGGATGGATGTCCAAAATTTTCTTTAGTTGCTAGTTTTTTCAAATATACAAAATGGTTAGCCAAACTAATCGTGAACTTAAACTTTGCGATCATAAGTATAGAAAGGAAAATAGACAAAGGAATTGGGATTCCCCCCCTGTTTGGAGATCACGAACGGGGAGATTTGTAGCATAAGTATAGAAAAGAAAACAATTAATGAGCTGTTGACCTTTCTGTCCAAAGAAGCCTACTAGAACCTGGTACTGGAACAACAAATACTAGATGAACAGATTGCACATTCACACAGTTTATCTAAGATCCATTCCAAACATACATTTATGTGAAGACAATTTAAAACTAGAGCATGTTAATGTCAGTCTACCATACAATCAATAGAATACTAGTGGTTACTACTGGGGTTCTAATGGGTACAGGTTACAGCATGTTGTTTGCCCAAATATCAAATAGATCCAACAATTCAACGTCAGCGTATGTGTCCCTGTGCATTGTACAAATGTAAACTTGTCGTCTCCTCATGTACATCCTATGGAGCATCCGAGCATGCATGCATGGTACTTGACATCATCTTTCTGACATCATACTAGGACAAAGAAAAAGGTGTCATGTTAGCCTCCTGTAGGTCTTCTTTCCCATTTGCCATCAACTGTTTTCTGATTTATTGTTCAAGCTTTCCACATGCATGTAATCTATAAGCATATGCCTTAGTTATGCTCTTAATTTGTACATACTGAAAACAAGTCTGTCAGCCTCATTTGAAAGGGTCTGTATTTGTGTCATTGGTGAATACTTGTGCCTTTTCTGGTGCACCATAGGTCAACTTGTAATTTGGTGCTTTCTCTTTGTATCATTTATAGTATTGGATGTTTTTGTTGAGCTTTAACAAATGATTCCTTAAGTATATTATTTAGTTGATTCTGTCAAAAAAATGTACTCTTAATTTCTGCCTTTTGCTTATAGCAGTAAGTGATTTCCTATGCTTTCACATTGGTCGATTTCTACTGTTAACTGTATTTGTGATATTTTCTTGTACAACTCTTATTTCTGTTTTCATTTGTCAACATATTTTGTGGCAAAAATGCTGTCGACTGTTTATTGTATATTATATTGAAATGTTTGTGATGCTCCTGAACGATGTACTGTAACCTGTAAGTCATTTTGGTGGAAATTTGAAGTACCCCTTTTGCTAGTGAAGCCATAGCATTTTGGTGGAAACTTGAAAAGCATGGTTTATGCATCAAATCGACTCCCAAATTATTAAAACCGTGCATATATGGAGTACTGCATCTATAGCAAATTTGCCATAAAGTTCTGGAATGGGTTCAAGCTTTCTCGGAAAAATAATTTGTCGGTGTTTCGGATCACCGGCTAGTAAATTTATATCTGCGCGTCTGGCCCGGATGGTATGCTCGGAGGACACAAGGATTTATACTGGGTCGAGCGAAATGTCTCTACGTCTAGTCTGCTGCTGCTCGTGTTATCGACACTAGTTTGTAGTAGAGGGCATGTTCATTTGGCCGGGTTGGTCTTTGGTTTGGGTTGGCTAGTCTTTCTTTTTTGTGTGAGAAAAAAACATTGTTATCGATTAGTTTGGTGTTTGAAACCAACAAGTTTAATGCAGCCGAGAGGCTACAAACATGCGAGAGAGGGAGAAGATCCCATATCTCTGGTGAAAAGATCGAACGGAGTTGAGTCTTGTTGAGCTCGTTCAGCCATGTGCTCGTGTCCCCCATAAGGCGTCATCCTTCCTATTTTATTGGTGAAGGGGAAGACGCAGGTTACAGAGACAGAAAAAGAGAAAATGAGAAAAGCGAGAGAAAAGAAGGTCTCCAGGGTTGCGGCATCCTTCATCTCCTTTATGCGGGTCATGTCGGTCCTGTAGATGATGACGGGGATGGCTCCACGTCGCGGCCCTGTTCGTCACTGGCGCTATACGCAGGCGTTGTCAGCCGGTCGTAGCGTCCCATCCCGTCCTGGCTGACGGCGTGGTCAACATGTACTTCTGTCAGGAGCCGTATGGGGATTAGGCAGCATAGTGCTGGTATGCCCAACACTGTTGGCGACGTGAGCCGCTAGGTATGGTCTGTCGTGGCCACGGGTCACGTCGAGACGTGCCCACTTTCCTCCGGTGTTAGAAGTTTGACCCTAGGGTCGTACTCTTAGACCCGTAGTGGTTGGAGGCGGTATGGATCCCCGTCGGGCGAGACGGAACCCACGCCCGAGGGTTCTGGCGAGATGGAGCCCACGCCCTCAGGGTCGGGCGAGACGGAGCCCGCGCCCTTGGGGTCGGGCGAGACGGTGCCCGCACCCTCGAGGTCGGGCGAGACGGAGCCTGCGCCCTCGGGGTCTGGCAAGATGGAGCCGTGCCCTCGGGGTCGGGCGAGAGCTTAAATATGTCTTGGACCATCCGGGCGAATTAACGTTCATGGCCATTAACTTCTTCCTCCGGGTATCCTAAATATCGATACCCGACAGTAGCCCCCGAGCCTGCGGAGGAGTAGAATACTCATTTGGAGGCTTTTTCAGGCGGGAGGACTCTGAGGGCCTCGGTCTCCCTTTGTAGCCCACAGGGTGTCTTGGTAGGGTTGTGATTCCCTTCTGTCGTGATCGGACTCCTTGGGAACATGTAGCTATGGGATTCGGGGGGGCGGAAAAGATTTCTCTTGATTTCGAACCCTCCCTAGGATCTGATCGATCCGCCAACGTCATATGACCGCGTATTCGGTCTCCTTACGAATCCAACTTCTCTCTAGCCCCCCGCGCATAGCGGGGGTCCGGTCGAGGGGTCAGCCCGTCTTGTGATCGTCCTCCCTCAAGCGTTTTTTCGATAAAATGGAGGAGCTGAGCAATGCCATGTTTTCCTCGACGGACGAATCATGGTGCTCGGTGAGCTATTAACGGGCTAGTCCGAGTGGCGCCCAAGCTTCCCGTTCGCGGGGGTCCGCCATGGGTTAGCTGGTGACCGACTCCAGATTCTTGGCGGCTAATCCATATAGTTCTCGAGTCCATTCGATCGGTCCCAAGGGCTCGCTGCCTTTCTTTGAGGAAAAACCATGGACTGTGAACCAACCAAGACTCGAACGTGGGCCGGGGTGCCTGTGGTGCTCGTGCGCCTAGGTACTGGCCGCTAGCGGGCCCATCCCTTTCCACCCCTCACTATAAAGGCGCCCTAGAGCGGTTGTGAACCCGTCGGTGGGCCTTGGGAGCGTTTTTAGCTCTGTATCCCTGCTTACCTATAGCGGTTCTCGACCCATCGAATGGGGCGAACCGTCATCCGACGCGTCCTTCGAGGGAGCGGCCAGAGGTGGCGTGCGCACGCTTCTTGGAGAGGCAACGTGACGAGGCACGGCGGGCGCGTAGATCTTGGTGGACGGTTCACCTCTCGCTCCACCTTCCCTTATAAATAGCGGCATTTCCCTTCATCTTTTGATATGCCTAACCGCAGCCTCGCCTTCTTCGCTTCTCCGCCTCCAGCGATCGGATCTATTTCCTTTGATCTTCCTCCACCAGCGAAGCTCTCGTTCTTCCGCCCTTGCCTCCCATGGAGTCGTGGTATCACTTCGACATCACCCACGCGCGCATACAGGGCCTCGTCAAGCGTAGTCTTCTCCATGAGAGGACCAACGTGGCGAAGTGGCTCATGCCCGGTCGCGAGGAGGCACCGACGCCACCCGATGGCTACGTCGTGTCATTCGCGTCCTTCCACGAGCGCGGACTCGTGATTCCTCCCCATCCGTTCTTTCGGGGACTACTGCACCACTACTAGATTGAGTTGTAGCATCTGAACCCCAACGGGATCCAGCACATCATGGCCTTCATCGCGCTGTCAGAGGGGTACCTAGGGATCGAACCCCACTTCGAACTGTGGAGGTACTTCTTCTCTGTTTCCCTGCTTAAGAAGAGGGATAAAGCTAGGGACCTACCGGTGCCGATGGGTTGTGCGGGCATCCACCTCCGAGGGCAGCGGTCCATCGAGTACATGCCCTGCCAACTATCGAGGTCCAATAAGGGGTGGCATGCGCAGTGGTTCTACATGAAGAACGATGCCGCCGCCCCCTTGCCAGACTTCACCGGATGCCTGATCGAAGAGGCACCGTAGGTGTGGTCGTGGGACCTCCCGAGAAGGAAAAGAAGAGGATGCACGATATCCTTACGCCATCACATTCCTGAAGAGACATGGACTTCACAGGGCCAGTGTCATCGAGGCATATCACGCGAGGAGGGTGGCGTCGCTGTTGGCGCGCACCCTCCCGCTATACGGGATGATGCTCGGCACGTAGCTCGACAGGACGATGCTCGCCCAGGGGCCGCTCCATGACAGCAAGGTCCGCAGCGCATCAAGGAGGCGACGGAGGAGTCCGACGCCGTGTTCCCGATCCTAGGACATCCCGCGATGCGGCCGGACGTGGGCTTCATCGAGCTGCCGACGGGGTTGGGCTTTTGGTCCTCCATCGTGCTACTGCCAGAGCATGCGGCCATGAGGGCGGCGAACCGCGTCGTGGACAAGAACTGGAAGAAGGAGAAGGATGATAAGAAGGCGCGGTGGCAGGTGAAGCAGCGGGCGAGGCTAAACCGAGGAAAGCGGCGGTAGTGTTCGGAGGAGGAAGAGGAAGAAGAAGAAGAAGGCGACGGTTTCGGGTCGCTCGTCCAATGGGACGAGCTGGGTGGCGGGGACAAGGATCCATCTCTGCCACAGATGGGGCCTTTCCCATGGCATGCCCCGAGGCAGGAGGGGGAGGACGCACCTGAAAGGTCCTTGTTGGTTTTGGTAATTGAGTGACAACCTAGGTGGACTAATTGTGTTTATGTGAGATACACAGGTGATTAGTCCACAGGTACATGTGTGTGAGCAACATATGCCATGAAGGTGAAAATGGCTTAGAGATGTTGCAAAGCTCACACATATGATGATGA